AACTAAACATGTCACTGAGATGTTCAACAAATATTTTAGAAATCTTCGAATGAAATCTACGAGACATCTTAAAAAATCTGTCGCTTGAGATATTTAGCAATGATTAGAAAAAAAATATTTAGAAACTATTCTATGCTACTAGGGTATATATATAGAATGACATCACTTTAATGGCTGCCAGTGTATATATTTATAGAATCAATTGGGTCGTTATCCGTAAAACGGTAACAATTAGAACATCGCTATGCTTGCAACCGAATTTATTTACATTACGGTTTAATAATTATAGGAGCTCATCCCTAGCCCAGGCCTTTATCGATCTGGACCAGCGCCCGAGAAATGTTCTCCTCTTCAGGAAGTGTCCACCTCAATTCAGAGAAACGCCATTAGATAACGTAATTCCAACGTCATCTACAATATGGAAAACTATTTGCAGTGCAGTCACCGAGTACCGAGAACTCACTTTCACAAGAAAAATTCAATGCGAACTCACCGTTATGGATAAGCTAAAATGCCTAACCTAACCTAAAAACACGTACTTGTCAGGTATTTTCCTCACGGAGATGGGTACTCGTACCAGATCGAGGCCGCGATCTTGGTTGAGTAAACACGTGCGAAATTGTGTAAACCTGGCCGTAACCTCGGCCCGGTGCACGCGCACCGAGATACGAAACGCGAAATGTTCGTGACGAGGCGACCCTAACCTCACCCGCGAAACGTCAATACTCGCCCGAAACCTCCCGAACTCGACCGTCCTCGCGCGACGCACGTGCAGGAGTGGCCGCGCGGCCAGGCGCGCCGTCCTATTTATAGGGGCGGCCGGTCACGTGGTTCCCCCACCACTCGCCCCTCCGCGTAGCCCGAGCCGCTTCCTTCGGCATGTACAAAGGAACCGATGATTAATTTTATAAAAATATGTCAAACCTTATAACAATATTAGACAGTGTTAAGGCAATGTGAAAGTGACTACAGAAAGGTCTCGTTTATGAAACTTTTCTCTTAAGTAGATGTATCGAATCGTATATATAACAATATTAGACAGTGTTAAGGCAATGTGAAAGTGACTACAGAAAGGTCTCGTTTATGAAACTTTTCTCTTAAGTAGATGTATCGAATTGTCGTAGAAAAATCTTCTTTATCGACGTCGATCAAGTTCCTCGTGCATAGCGCCGTGGCCATGGCCTTCGATTAAACAAAAGTGTCCTTTGTCGGCGTCGTACCGGGAATTAACAAACTTATGATACTTGAATCATGCTCGCATAACCGCAATTGACCATTGCGCAACCACGCAATTATCGCCGATGCAAGGTTAGACAACAAAAACATACACATGTAATGTTAAGGTGATATGAAAATGTCATTCTATGTATAACGTCAAAATATTTATACAACTTTTCTCCAAACTGGGTGCACCGAATCATATTAAACTTTAGCATGTAAAATTCATTTTTCAAAAGAACATTTTTTTCTTTCAGCCTAGACTAGAACCAAAATCAGATTTTTGGTAAACAATGAAATTTCACAAGCATTGCGTTGTTTCTTAGGGCCTCCATAATCACATACTAAATTTTTAAATGATTCGGTGCACCCAGTTTGGAGAAAAGTTTCACAAGCATTTGGACGTTTTGATATTTACATAATTACCCACTCCTGTGCCTCAAATTCGGAACACTATATTGTTTATAGCTGTTTTCAAGAAATAATAAAATCAAGTTCTCGCGACAATGGTAAGATGGCGCCACTAGCTCCTTCGCTGTGTATACTAATAACCAATAGGACGCTGAATTCAAACCTGGCGGGACGCGCAGGGAGGGGGCAGTCAAGAGACCGTATACCGCGCCCGCATAAGAGCGTCCTTCTCTAACCAATGGGAGAACCCATGCAAGTGAGAGACCCTGGTCTCTGGGGTGCCCGGCCGAAGAGCCACATGAGGCCTTGCGTCAGTTATTCCGCAAGACTGATGACAAACGTCAGGGCGCGTTTTTTCGCCGTCATCGTCGGTGGGAAATGAATTAATATTTAAAGTCTGACACGAAGAAAAATCCCGAGTAGCAGAAATGGCGCCGCAACAACCGACCCCCTACGATCTGGCATACCGAGGGAAAACGGCAGCGGTGAAAATCCTCCTCTCAGAGAACGAAAAACTGAAGACGGCGACCGACTCTGTACGTATGCGAGCCGCCCCCGCGCGCGCCGACCTAACCTCAAATTTTTTCTTTCAGAACGGGCGGATGCTGATTCACTGGGCTGCCCTCGGCGGACACGACGATCTGGTCGCTTATCTCTTATCACTGGGTGTGCCGGTAGACCCCACGGACGATGTAAGCAATCTCGGTAGAGTTTCGCGCCGAATGCATTTAAAAATATGCGCGAACGGCACTTGGTTCGAGAAATATTTATTTCTCAAATAAGAGAACTTATTTATGATTACCTTGAAAATAGGTGCGACCGTCTGCGCTGAGCGATCCACGAGTTGTGAGCACTGCGCATGCGTGGGACTTTTGACCAGCCAATCAGAAGCGACTGCGTCTGGCGGGAGATTCGAAATTCGGTTTTTCAGATTCATGTCACGTGGGGGATTTTGTCATGACTCGTTATCGTGTTTCTAATTAGATATACAGGGTGACTCTAACGGAGTTAATAACATTTTGCTAACAAAATAGAATTTCATTGGATTTTCTGTATATCTCATGTTTTTTTCTTCGAACTTCTTATAGTTACTGACGAACTTAGTATTGCATTAGCTTCAATGTTTTTATTCGTTATTAAAATAGAATGTAATAGGATTACCTGTACCATGTCTTTTTTTGTTTTTCAAACCTCCGACAGTTATCAGCGAACTTATTCTTTAATCAGCTTCGAACAATATTTATTCCCTGTTAATAATTTTTTATATCAAGTAGTAAATTGATCGATACTTAGGACCAATTTTGTACATAAACTCTATTTGCGAAATCATCCAGTTGAAACTAATTTGCCATAATTTAGATTGCAATATTAAGGATTCATACTAACTCAATTACGCTAAAACCAAGTCGTTCCTTTAATAATAAACATTTAAAGTACCGTAGGTAATTAATCTTGCCTACGAAGTAAATCTTTCACTCTCTATATATTTATTTGGTGCGAAACTTTGGTGAGTTTCTTGATTTATTCTTTTTTTATCAGTTCTACGTGCGAAGACAAATGTAATTGTTCGGTTTAGTTGCTACTTTCTAGTTCGTTATTAATTTCGTAAAACCTTCTTTTATGCGTAGATGGAGATGACACCGTTAATCCTGGCAGCATCAGCTGGTCGAGATAAAGTTGTCGAAATCTTACTAAAAGAAGGCGCCAATCTGAATGCGAAGACAACCGATGGACATTCGTCTCTACAATATGCAGCTTCGAAGAACTGGAAAACTATCTGCGCCTCCTTAATTGAGAAAGGTGCAGATGTGAATATCTGTGACAAAAGAGGAGCCACTCCGTTGCATAGATCTGCATCGAAGGGAAACAATGCCATCGTCAAATTGTTGCTGGACTGCGGAAAGGATCTGCATATAGGTAACGACAAATAAAGACATTAAAAGCTATTCTCCGACGTTGTCGTATTACATTTCGTAAGAGAGGCCTTTTAACTAAAGGTGGTAATAAAAAAAGGTATGAGTATGGCATCTTTTAGCAGCAGTCCGATCATCTTTTACTAAGAGACGTTTAAAAGCGCTGCTAAAAATGAGATATGCGTAAGGGCCATAGACTTTTATATTACATATAATGTATTTTTAATGAATCCTTGCCTTTATCCAGACCACCAGGACATCTATGGAAACACTGCTCTGCATTTGGCCTGCGAAGAGGATCGACAGGATGAAGCGAAGCTGTTAGTGAGCCACGGAGCAGACTTGACGGTGACCAACAAAGAGAGGAAATCTCCACTGGACCTGGCGAGTCGTTTTTTGGGGCGCATTTTGAAAGAAACCAAAGAAAAGCAGGCGTCGACTTAAGCCAGAAAATTATCAGAATTAGTAAAATAGCGTTTTAAGGCGGTAAGTTATGAAATACGTTTTATTCAAAGTGAGGTTAAATGAGAATAAACAGTTCCGGGGCATATTTGCTTTTATTTCAGGTTTTACGGAGAGTTTAAGATTTAAAAAATGTTCATAATGTATCAAAATGATGGTTTTGTGTAAACTGAAGATCTCTGATTTTTTAAATTAATAAGGATTATGTAAGAACCTATCGGACGGATTTTGAGAAAAATTATTGGTCGATAGATTAAGGGGCAAAAAACTGAACAAATTATTTCGATGCTTAAATAATCTTTTTCAGTTTCTAAGATCACCGTAACCTTTTGTTTTGTATTTGCCGTTCTTCTGTAATTATATATATATCGTGAACAAAAAAAATGTCAACCTCTACAAGTGCGCCATTTTGAAATGTTTAATAACATTATAACATCAAACTCTACGTAAAATATGAAATAATACAGTTCTGTAAAAGAAATATTTTCCACATCTTTTCATTCTCATTTAAATACAGTTTGAAACGCATTTCGCAACTTAAGTCCCTTAAAACAAAACCCCGGGTAGATAAAAAATGAAAACAATGGGCGGGCCTTCAATAACGTGCAAAAAGGCTGTGCTGTTTGATCAGCATTTATTTGTTTCTTCCTCTCGGTTGCTTAAGATATCAACTTTTGTATTCAATCCATATAAAATATATCAAAACATCCTCCTAGGTCGACTCTTCGGTCTCGCATTGTTCTCCTTTCTTCTCATCCTGATTTGCTTCCTCTTGAGGTTCGTTGATAAGCCCGATACGCGAATATCCTTTGTTATATATTTTTTCCCTAGCGAGTAGAATATTGGTTGGCTTTGATTACACAATTTAAGAGCAAAACAGCTATTTTACACATCCGCAGATAATTATGATCGGATTTTAACGTAAAACACGAAAAATGTATCCAAATGCTCGCCATTCCTCGCGTTCTCAATCCAATATGGCCGACTCAGTCATATGAAGTCCTAAAAATTCGTCTAAAAGTCGAAAAAGCTTCAAGGAACTTTAAGTATAAGAGCAAAACAGCTATTTGACACGTCCGCAGATAATTATGATTGGATTTCACCGTAAAACACGAAAAATGTATCCAAATGTTCGCCATGTCTTGTGAGTTCTTCGATCCAATATGGCCGATTCGGTCATATGAAGTCCTAGAAATTCGTTTGAAAGTCGAAAAAGTTTCAAGAAGCTTTAAATACGAGTACATAGCAACTATTTCACATGTCCACAGACAATTATGATTTTTTTTTTCAACGGTAACGTGAAAAATATATCCAAATGCTCGCCATTTCTCGCGATCTCTTCGATCAAATATGGCCGACTTGGCTGAATTAAGTCTTAAAATTCGTCGAAAAAGATTCAATGAACTTTGTATATATGAGCAAGGCAGCTATTTCATGGCCACAGATAATAATGACTGTTTTTCAACGGAAACATGAAAAATGTAGCCAGGTGCTCGCCATTTCTCGCGATTTTCTCGTCTCTTGCGTCTCGATCCAATATGGCCGACTTGGCTGAACTAAGTCTTAAAATTCGTCGAAAAAGCTTCAATAAGCATTAAATATATGAGCAAGGCAGCTATTTTACATGTCCACGGATAATTACGATAGTTTTTCACCGCAAACGTGAAAAATGTGTTTAAATGCTTGCTATTTCTGGTAAGCTCCTCCATCCAATATAGCCGACTTGGCTGAACTAAGTCTTAAAATTCATCGAAAAAGCTTCAATCAGCTTTAAATGTATGAGCAAGACAGCTATCTTACATGTCCACGGATAATTACGATAGTTTTTCAACGCAAACATGAAAAATGTGTTTAAATGCTCGCCATTTCTCGCGATCTCCTCGATCCAATATGGCCAACTTGGCTGAACTAAGTCTTAAAATTCGTCGAAAAAGCTTCAATGAGCTTTAAATATATGAGCAAGACAGCTATCTTACATGTCCACGGATAATTACGATAGTTTTTAACCGCAAACGTGAAAAATGTGTTTAAATGCTTGCTATTTCTGATAAGTTCCTCAATCCAATATGGCCGACTCGGTCATACGAAGTCCTAAAAATTCGTCTAAAAGTCGATAAAGCTTCAAGGAGCCTTAAGTACGAGAGCAAAGCAACTATCGACATAACTTAGTCGTGTCTCCTTTATTATTCGCTCTACCTTATCTTTGTTTTCCAATCGCACAAGGCATAAAAATCGGGCAAGGTATGGAAAGGACATTCGGGTGGCTTATACTCTACCTACGCTTCGATTAAATACATATATATGTATTTATATATATGTATATATATATTATATAATGCCAAAAATATATGTATAAATGCGTGTGCGAATACACTATATAAAAGATCTTTTTTTCGTTTTTTCTTTAAGGGGAAGCATCGGGCACGACAATAAGAGGAACACGCCAGAACGGAGAAAGAGAAGAGAGAGTGGGTTATACAGGGTGATTCAAGTATCATTATCACACGCGATAATTCTCTCGCCATGGAGATCGCAAAAATGGCGCGCAATTTAAAAGTCTGCCTAGAAATTCGGCCGCACAGATGGATAAAACTAGAATAAAATCATAATTCGGTTATGACACGGCTCGGGGTGGATTTTTTTAAGTGCTTCACCCTGCAGGTTAAGTACCGTCGCGAGATAACCTCAAATATGGCAAGGATATGTGAATCGCCCTGTAGAGGCTCGAGGAAACGAAAAAAAATGGACGCTGCTTCGAGGGAAAAAAAACTGGATCGCCAAATCTTCGTGGGACATTTTTAAATGAAACCATCGCGGCACTGATTAGTGACCACGTTTCCATCGCACTCTTAAATCCGGGATTTATTAAGTCCGGATCCAGTAAATCGCATGCATCGCATTAATAAATACGCAGATTCGATTCTGAGCGTCTCAATCGACACTTAAATTAGGATTTGATGGGTTTGGATTTGATAAATCCTGGATTTTAAGCACGATAGAGACGAAGTCATTTTCCACGTCTTCACCGTACTCTTAAATCCGGGATTTACGTAAATCGCATTAATCAATACGCAAATTCGATTCTGAGCGAATCAACACTTAAATTCGGATTTGATAAATCCCGGATTTTAAGCACGATGGAGACGGTCATTTTCCACGTTTCCATCGCACTCTTAAATCCGGGATTTACGTAAATCGCATTAATTAATACGCAGATTCAATCTTGAGCCTTTCGATCGACACTTAAATTCGGATTTGATGGGTTTAGATTTGATGAATCCTGGATTTTAAGCACGATGGAGACGAAGTCATTTTCCACGTCTCTACCGCACTCTTAATTCCGGGATTTACGTAAATCGCATTAATTAATACGCAAATTCGATTCTGAGCGTCTCGATCGACCTTTAAATTCGGATTTGGTAAATCCCGGATTTTAAACACGATGGAGACGTAAATAATTATTAACAAAAGAGCTTCATGCTTAGTTTATGTAAAATCCAGGATCGGAGCCGCCATTTTGTCGGAAACTCGCTCGATAAAAACGAATTTCGACCAACCTCTTTCCGGTTCCTGCTTCCTACTCGCTGTTACATTTATAATTAAGATATTAACATTAAATAATTAGCGAAAACCCGAGGAAGGTGCGACTCGGTTAAGTCGTCGCAACCTGCCGCGATGGCGGCCTTCAGAACGGAGAATGAAGGTCATGCGAAAGTGACGTCACAGTTCTCGCTCATGAAACTTTTTTTCAATCTGGGTGTATCGAAATCGATTCAAACATTAAAACATAAATATGGAGGCTGAAAGGAAGGTCTTAGAACTCACGAAATTGTATTTTCTCAAAAAATTGGTTTATACGTAATTTAAACAATTTTTATAAAAAATGAAATTTCATGGGCGTCGGGACCTTCCTTATAGCCTTTATATTCACATTGTAAGGTTTAAAACGATTCGACACATCCATTTCGGAGATAAGTTTGATAAACGAGATCTCTGACGCCACTTTAACATAACCTTAAGGCCGTTTTGCAACGCTAGCTAAGAGTGTTAATCATTGCTCCGATTATTGGATTAGCGATTATGCAATGATCTCCCTCGCTCTCGTCGTTCCTGCGCTTCTTCTCGTTCCTATGTCACTTGTCTTATCACCTACTCGTTTTGAATTTCCCGCGATATCGTGCCTGCGCCGCAACCGCTCGGCGGTTAGGTTAGGTTAGTAAGCTGTAGAGTTATGTACACATTATTCGAGGTCTCCTTTTCCCGCCATTTAACTCGCGATTCCGCGCGATCTCTCGAGTTTCTTCATTCGGTGTTTCCAGTGCCTCAAGGAGAACGGAAAGGGAAAGGGAGTTGCTTCCCGTTAGTTAGGGGACGCCACCGCGGGTGGCGCTACCGTCGCGCGCTGCCTGGTTCTCTTCGGTTTTCTCTCCTTTTTCACGCTGATTGACGAAAGACGGGATTTCTGTTAGTGATATCGTTCCATTAATCGTGTTCCTGATAATCCGGAGAATATTTATTCGACGCTAGTTGTAAATCGATCGGTTCCCACAGACGCCACCAGGCATCCATCTTATTAAATTTCTTCTCATATTAAAGGAAGACTATTTCACGTCTACTCGAATCTGAAGTAAAAAGAAGAATGAAAAACCGCTGGAAAAGTACGTTCCTACATTTCGTATTTGAAACGGAGCACGAGGGATAGAAAGAATCATGTTCATTAGTTAACAGTCGCCACCGCGTGCGGCGCTGCGACCACTCGCCTTTTCCGTTCATTTAGCGTCGACAAATTAATTCCGCCAATTAAAATTTCTTGCATGCCAAATTTAATCTTATTCTGACTACATTATAAAAAAGACGTGAATCCGCGTTATCTTCTAACCCTTATCTCCCTCCTTTCTCCCTCCACCCTTTTCGATTAATTAACCTCGAATCAAACATCTTATCGCCCAGAATATTCTGCTGTCCCTCGCTTTTTCCGTTCATCTCATGTTAACCAAGTAATTCTGCCAGCATCTCATTAAAATACAATTAGCGCACTCTCGATAAACCTCGACAACGGATGGAAAAATGAAGTCTCCGCCGCAGATTCGAAGGGAAGGGAAAACCGGAGTAACTGCCGATTAGTTCAGAGACGCCACCGCGCGCGACGCTGCGTTCGTTCGCCTTTTCCTTTCATCTCATGTTAACCAAGCAATTCTGCCAGCATCCCATTAAAATACGATCAGTGCACTCTCGACAAATCTCGACAACGGATGGAAAAATCAATCCTACGCAGCAAATTCGAAAGGAAGGGAAAACCGGAGTCACTGCCGATTAGTTCAGGGACGCCACCGCGTGCGGCGCTGCGTTCGTTCGCCTTTTCCTTTCATCTCATGTTAACCAAGTGATGGAAAAATCAAACCTACGCAGCAAATTCGAAAGGAAGGGAAAACCGAAGTAACTGCCGATTAGTTCAGGGACGCCTCCGCGTGCGGCGCTGCGTTCGTTCGCCTTTTCCTTTCATCTCATGTTAACCAAGGATGGAAAAATCAAACCTACGCAGCAAATTCGAAAGGAAGGGAAAACCGAAGTAACTGCCGATTAGTTCAGGGACGCCTCCGCGCGCGGCGCTGCGGTCGGCCTCGGTCCTCTCTCTCGCTCTCGCGCGATCCCGTATCTCCGTCCCTCTCTCGCTCCGCGACGAGGTGTCGGAAGTACCCAGGAACTCCGAATCTCCGAATGTCTCGCCTTTTCCCTCGGAAAGAGAGAATCGCTCGCTCGTTGCGTTTAATCGGGCGCTCTCCTTAATCGACCTATATTATGCTCGTTATCAAACGTCGGTTGTTACACTCTCTCGGAACGTTTTGAGGATTCAATTGGCGGTCTCTTCCCCGTCGATGCTCTCGTCCTGGGTCGTCGAATCGTCCCCGGAGCCGCCGGTCTGCACCGAGCCACGTTTCGTCAACCTCGTCGAGCTCAGACTTATCCCGGGGCCGCCGCGCCTATAAAAGGAACGGAAAATTAGTTTTTAATACTGATAACCACGGCGAAGGAAGATTAACCCTTTCAGCGCTAAGCCCTAGATCCCGGGAATTCATTATTCTAAAAACTGTTTAGGACCAACGTCGCCATCTGTGACGTTTTGCTGCAACTAAATTTTTGCTCTAGAAAACGCGTTACCCCTGAGACAAGCCAGCATTCTGTTGCAATCGTTGATGAGAGTATTTTCCATATTTTCCCATCTCTCTCTGTAATATTAAATTTTTATAGCATTCTAAATTGTTTGAGCGAGAAATTTAATCGACATCGATTAAGTAAAATTCATCTATACCCTTTTTGGGGGTCATGCTGTTTTGAATACTCAAGTGGTAACATAAAGTGGCGCGTCCCGTTACCGACATTTATATTTATGTTGGTCTTTTACAGTCTATGTTGAGAATTATACGAACCGAAGGGTTCTATATGACATTTCGATAAAGTAATGATAAAAAGATAGACGTTAAACTGCCGAAATCCCATGAATTCATGACTGTTTATATTTTGACGAACCAATGTCGCCATCTGTGACGTTTAGAAGCAACTAAATTTTTCCTCTAGAAACCTGCGCTACCCCCGAGACAAGCCAGCATTCTCTTGAAATCGTTGGAGAAAGTATTATCCATATTTCCCCATCTGTCTCTGTAATATTCCATTTTTATAGTATTCTTAATTGTTCGAGCTAGGTCCTGAAACTCTTCATTTTCGATTATAAGTCTCCAAGAAGCGTGAAACATCGGAAACGTGCCCGGACCTCGCCATGTTGGTTCCAGTCCATGATAAATAAATGAATTTTTTATGAAAAATCAAATTTCCTGAGTTTCAGGACATACCTTAGCGCCTCCATATTCCCGTGGGAACATTTGAAACTAATCGGCACCCCCAATTAGAAGAATACTTTCCCCAACGATTCGACATCTCAGATATATACAGGCTGACTCTTTCCATATTCTTTTAATACTCTAACGGACCATCGGCGCCATCTGTGACGTTCAACCGCAACTAAATTTTTCCTCTAAAAACCCGCGTTAACCCTGAGACAAACCAGCATTCTCTTGAAATCGTTGGGGAAAGTATTATCCATATTTCCCCATCTGTCTCTGTAATATTCCATTTTTATAGTATTCTTAATTGTTCGAGCTAGGTCCTGAAACTCTTCATTTTCGATTATAAGTCTCCAAGAAGCGTAAAACATCGAAAACGTGCCCGGACCCCGCCATGTTGGTTCCAGTCCATGATAAGTAAACAAATTTTTGACGAAAAATCAAATTTCATGAGTTTCGGGAGCTACTTTAGCGCCTCCACAGTCACGTGGCAAAATTTGAAACTAATCGGCAACCCCAATTAGGAGAATACTTTCCTCAACGATTTAACTTCTCAGATATATACAGGCTGACTCTTTCCATATTCTTTTAATACTCTAACGGACCATCGGCGCCATCTGTGACGTTCAGCCGCAACTAAATTTTTGTAAGTAAATACATTATTTATGATAAATGAAATTTCATGAATTTCAGGATCTACTAAAGTAAAGTAGCGCCTCCACATTCACGTGGCAGAATTTGAAACTAATCGGCACCCCCAATTAGGAGAATACTTTCCCCAACGATTCGACTTCTCAGATATATACAGGCTGACTCTTTCCTATCACTTTAAGGCCGTATGAAAGGATTTCAAATAATCCCAATCTAGCAACACTGAAAGCGACGAAAAAATTAATATCTCTTTTCAAGCATCGTTATCAGACATCGCGCGTGCACAATCTCCAAACACACGCCATATCTTTTTTTATTGTTATCCTTTTCTCCGTCGTTCTTTCTCATCTTTTTTGACCCTATATCATCGACTCGTAATGCTAAATTATATATCACAAGCAAATTGTTATCGTAAATTCACGCACAGAAAAATCAAGACATTGTTTAGATGGATGAGATGTTAAGACAAAAATGGGGGAAATGCAAATGTTATTGATATTCAGTTAATTATTTTGCAAACCTTTTAGTTGGAAATCGGACTTTGTTAGGCCTAGGTTTCAACATCCCCTTACCAAATTTTACTATTCAGGGGAAGCTCTGTTCCAACCGGAGGATTCCGACTGTAACTGTTTAAACATTAAGAATAAACACTACATGGAAATGTTGACGTGATTATCGAATGTCAATATTCAGTATTCAAGCCCGATTGTTTTAAGTAGCTCCGTTTCAAGGTGACTACACACGCAACGATAAATTGTTGCGATAAATTGTTACGATAAATTGTTGCGATAAATATGTGCAAATAGATCGGTACAAATTTAACTGGCGTTAACAATATGTACATATGAAAGAAAAACTCGACTTAATTATGTAGATTACAAATCGGTGCAATAAATCTGTGCAAACCGATCGGTACAAATTTAACTGCTATTGATATGTTAAAATTCAGCCTAATTGTGCAGATTACAAATCGTTGCGATACATCTGTGCAAATCAATCGGCAAGAATTTAACTGACGTTAATAATATGAAGACGTAAAAAAAAATCGCCTTAATTGTACATTTTACAAATTGAAGCGATAAATCTGTGCAAACTGATCGATGCAGCTTTAACTCGCGTTAATAATATGTAAATGCGAATAAAAAACTCGACTTAATTCTGTCGATTATAAATCGGTGCATTAAACCTGTTTAAACTGATCTGTGTGTTTAACAAATAAATAAAAAAACTCGATCTAATTGTGCAGATTACAAATCGTTGCGATAAATTTGTGCAAATCAATCGGTAAAAATTTAACTGGCGTTAATAATATACAGACGTAAAAAAAAACGACCTAACTGTGCAAATTACAAATCGTTGCAACAAATCTGTGCAAGTCAATCGGTAAAAATTTAACGCGTTAATAATATGTATACATAAAAAAAAAATGATCAACTTAATTGCACATTTGATAAATTGAGACGATAAATCTGTGCAAATCGATCGATACAAATTTAACTAGTGTTGATAACATGTGTATACAAAAAAAAAAGGACTGGATTTAATTGTACATACAAAAAATCGCTGCGCGTGTAGTCACCTTTAGAATTACAAATCGTTGCGATAAATCTCTAGAAACCGATCGATACAAATTTAACTAGTGTTGATAACGTGTATACCAAAAAGAAGAAGAAAAAAAAGACTAGGTTTAATTGTACATACGACAAATCGCAGCGCATGTAGTCACCTTTAAAATGGAACCGTTCATGACGTCCTTAGAAATTACCTCAGCTTGTTCTTCAGGTTCGCGACCTCCCTGGTGAGAGCCTCCTGAGTCTCGATCATGTCCTCCATCTCCCTCTGCGCCTTCCTCTTCTGTGACTTTTCCCTTCCGATCTCCTCTTCGGCCTCATCCAGCTGTCTCTTCAGGGCCTTCATCCGGGCATTGATCTTCTCGACCTGTTCCTTGTACTGCTCGGCGTTCCTCCTCTCGTCCTCCAGCTGAAGGCCCATCTCCTTCAGCTTCTTGTCCAGCTTCCGGTTGATCTTCTGCTGGGCGAACCTCTCCTTGGCCTCGGTCTCTAGCTGTTCATCGAGGTTGTTGATCTTGGCCTCGAGACCCTGGATGGTGGCCTTGGTCTTGGTCCTCTGGCTGGTCTCCAGCTCGGCCAACTTGGCCTTCAGCTCCTTGTTCTGCCTCTCCAGAAGCATCTTATGAGACTCCAGCTTCTGCGTGGTGGACCTCTCCGTGGTGAGGTCGGTATTCAGCTGGTCGATCGTGATCTGCGCCTTCCTGGCCTTATCGGAGGCGACCTCGCAGTTGGTCTGCTCCTCTTCCAGCTCCTCTTCCAGGGTGGCGATCCTGGCCTCGAGCCTCCTCTTCTCGTCCAGCATCAACGTGGCCTTGTTCGCGTTGTTGTTGATCTCCTCCTGGAACTCGTCGCGCTCGTTCTCGGCAGCTCTTCTGGCTCTTTCGCTGCTGGCCAGGTCTTCCGTGAGCTGCATCAGCTCCGCCTCCAGGTTCTTCACCTTCCTCTCCGTCTCCTTCGCACTCGCCGCCAGCTCGTCCCTCGCCGCCCTGGCTTCTTCCGTCTCCCTGGCGCAGTCCTTCATCTGCACCTGGAGCTTCTTCAGCTGCTTAAGCGCGTCCTCCTTCACCTTGCTGTGCATCTCCAGCTGCTGCTCGATGTCCTTGTAGTCGGCTTCCATCTTCTTCCTGGCCGCGTTGGCCGCAGCGCGCTGTTTCCGCTCGTCTTCGAGGTCTGCTTCCAGGTCCCTGAGCTGTTTGGCGAGGCCTCTCCTCTTCTCCTCGGCCTGTTCCTCCTTGGCCTGCAGGTCCCGCTCGAACTGGGTCCTCATCGCCTGCATGTTGACCTCCAGCCGGAGTTTCGCGTCCTCGGTGAACTGGAGCTCGTCTTCGAGTTCCTCGATCTGCGACCTCTGCTCCGCGAGGTGCGACTCCAGGCTGCGCTTCGCCTTCTCCAGCTCGTGCACGTTCTTGTCGGCGGTACCCTGGCTGTTCACCAGCTCGTCTAGCTCGGCCTGAAGACCCCTACGACCTCGCTCCAGCTCCTCCACCTTATCGTTCAGCTCCTCCAGCTCCCTTATCAGCGACAGGACCCTGGTTTCCTTCTCCCGCGCCTCCCGCTCCGCGGAATCCCTCTGCTCGGCGTACTGCTCGGCGACGGCCTTCTCCTCGGCAAGGACCTTGTCGAAGTTCTTCTGCTTCTTCTCCAGCTCCAGGACTTTCGCCCTCTGTGCTTCCAGTTCGATGTTGCTGTCCTCCAGCTCGGCCTGGATCTTCTTCTTGGACTTGTCCAGCTTGTCGTTCGCAGCCTGCAGCTCCTCCACCCTACGCTGAAGAGCCTCCACGTCCTTCAGGCACCTCTTCCTGGCTTCCTCCAACGCCGCCGCAGCTTCGGCTTCCTCGTCTCCGCGCTTCTTCGCCTCTGCCAGCTGCAGGTTCAAGCTCTGCACCTGCTTGTCCAGCGCCCGCTTCCCCTCTTCCTCCTCCTCGAGTTGGTCGTGAAGAGCCTCCTTCTCGCTCTCCAGGGCGCGCAACTTCGAACTCAGCGACAGCTTCTGCTTGGTCTCCTCCTCGAGCTGTTGCTGGATCTCGGAGAACTGCGACTCGCAGGTCGCCGAAGCTTTGATCGCTGCGGATGCGCGAAGCTCGGCGGTCTCCAGCTGCTGCATCACCGACTCCGCTTCCTGCTGCAGCTTCGCCACCTTCTCGGCGAGCTCCTGCTTCGCCCTGTCCACTTCGGCGAGCTTCGCGTTGACCTCTGCTAGCTGTTGCTCGGCTTGTTTCCTTCTACGATCCGATTCCTGCCTGCTGGCGCTCACAGAGCGCAGCTCCGTCGCCAGGTCGGCGTTTTCGGCCTCCAGGGAGGACTTGGCCTTCTCCAACGCGGCCTTGGCCTTCCTCAGGGCGTCCATCTGCTCGTTTATCGCGGTCAGCTCCTGGGTGTGCTTGTGTCGCATGTCGGCGAGCGTCCCCTCGTGCAGGGAGGTCTCATCCTCCAGGTTCTTCTTCAGGGTGGCCAGCTCCTGCTCCCGTTTGCTCCGCAGCTCCTGCTGGGCGGCCGTCGTGTCCAGGGAATCCAGAAGCTCGTTCTTCAGGGCCTCCAGCTCCTCGTTCAGGTCGCGCTTCAGCTTCTCTGCTTTGCTCCGGGCTGCTTTTTCCGCTTCTAGGTCCTCTTGAAGCTCCGCTAGTTGCGACTCCAGCTCCCGGAGGGCCTTCTGAGACTGCGCCTTCGCGGCTCCCTCCTCGTCTATCTTCATCATCGCCTGGGTCAGCTCTTCTTCTCGCTTCCCTAGCTGGAGCTGCAGCTCCTCCACCTGCGCTCTTCGCTCCGATAGCTGCTCCCTCAGGTCTGAAACCTCCGTCTCCACTTTTCGCTTCGATCTGTCCACCTCCTGGCGCTGCTGGTGGTCCTTCAGGAGACGCTCCTCCAGGTCCGCGATCGTCGCCTCGTGCTTCGCTTTTAGCTTCGCCAGGTGCTTCGCTTTCTCTTCCTCTTCGGCTAAGGTCTGCGAGAGGTCGTTCGACCGCTCTTCTAGGATCTTCTTCTCCTTCAGCAGCTTCTGGTTCGTGTCGTCCGAGAGGGCTAGGTCCTCTTCTAGTTTCTTGATCTTCGCGTCGCATTGCACCTTCTCCAGCTGAAGTTTCTGCCGAGCTGCTTCCTCCTCTTCGAGCTGCTCCTCCAGGTCGCCGATGTTTAGCTGGAGCTTCTTCTTCTCCTGGGTTAGGGCCGTGCTTCGCTCCTCTTCTTCCTCTATCCGGGCTTCCAGGTCGTGCAGGATCTCTTCTAGCTCTTGCTTCCGAGACGCTAGGCGCATGCGCATCTCTTCAGCTTCTGCGCAGAGCTCCACTTCGGCTTGAAGCTGCTCCGCTAACATGGTTTTCTCTTCTACTGCTTGCTGGTACTTCCTCTCGTACTCTTGGGACGAGTGAAGCTGCAGTTCTAGCTTGTCGCGCACTTGCTTCAGCTCGTCCTCCTTCTGAGTCAGCTTCTCTTCTTGCTTTGTTACTTCCAGAAGTGGCTTCACCTTCGTGTAGAGGCGCCACCATTGCCAGTTACGCAGCTTCAGGTAGGCGGCGCAGTTGCGCTGGATTATGCGGATTGCGTTCAGCTGCTGAAGACGCTTCTGGTAGTTTCTTCGCGCGAGGAAGCCGCGGCAGAATGCCTGGAAATGTCAAAAATAGTTACATTTTATTAATGTATCTAATAGTTGCATCAAGAAACTAGGTAGAGTCTCGAGCCAAATACATTTTTGAGAAGGAATATTGACGCATCTAATAGTTGTATCAAGAAACTTGGTAGAGTTTCGAACCAAATACATTTTTGAGCGAGAATAATATTAACGCATCTAATAGTTGCATCAAGAAACTCGGTAGAGTCTCGAGCCAAATACATTTTTCAGCGAGAATATTGACGCATCTAATAGTTGAATCAAGAAACTAGGTAGAGTCTCGAGCCAAATACAATTTTGAGAGAGAATATTATTGACGCATCTAATAGTTGTATCAAGAAACTTGGTAGAGTTTCGAACCAAATACATTTTTGAGCGAGAATATTATTGACGCATCTAACAGTTGCATCAAGAATCTAGGTAGAGTCTCGAGCCAAATACATTTTTCAGCGAGAATATTGACGCATCTAATAGTTGAATCAAGAAACTAGGTAGAGTCTCGAGCCAAATACAATTTTGAGAGAGAATATTATTGACGCATCTAATAGTTGCATCAATAAACTCGGTAGAGTTTCGAGCCAAATACAATTTTGAGAGAGAATATTATTGACGCATCTAATAGTTGAGGTAGAGTCTCGAGCCAAATACATTTTTCAGCGAGAATATTGACGCATCTAATAGTTGAATCAAGAAACTAGGTAGAGTCTCGAGCCAAATACATTTTTTAGCGAGAATATTATTGACGCATCTAATAGTTGCATCAAGAAACTAGGTAGAATTTCGAGCCAAATACATTTTTGAGCGAGAATATTATTGACGCTTCTAATAGTTGAATCAAGAAACTCGGTAGAATTTCGAGCCAAATACATTTTTCGACAATTTTAATCTTGATTTCAATCAAATCATTTAAATCAGTTCAACTCTGTTATATGGAAGTGGTGGTAATCCTTACCTGGAAATTCACGATTAGGTCCGTAATCTTGTAGTCGCGCTCCTCTTCGAGATGAGCTAACACTCCCGCCCTGAAGAAGATCTTCGACTGTCCCACGCGGTACAGATTCGGGTCCAGCTCCAAAGCTTGAATCTGCAAATCGCCATGGAAAAGAGTTAACAGGTGAATTAATGCAGTCGGAGATTACCACTCCGAGCATTAAAGTGATAGGTGCCCTTCATATCGCCTTAAAGTGATTTGAAATATATAAAATAAGTCTTTCAAGTAACCTTAAGGTGATATGAAAGGCACCTATCATCTTAATGCTGTCTGGGATTATCACTTCGAGCATTAAGGTGATAGGTGCCTTTCATATCACCTTAAGGTGATTTGAAATATACAGAATAACTCTTTCAAGACACCTTAAGGTGATTTAATGCAGTCGGGGATTACCACTCCGAGCATTAAAGTGATAGGTGCCTTTCATATCAACTTAATGCTGTCTGGGATTACCACTCCGAGCATTAAGGTGATAGGTGCTTTTCATATCACCTTAAGGTGATTTAATGCAGTCGGGGATTACCACTCCGAGCATTAAGGTGATAGGTGCCTTTCATATCACATAAAAGAAAAAAAAAGTGAAATGCACAGAATAACTCTTTCAAAACACCTTAAGATGATTTGAAATATATAGAATGACTCTTTCAAATCACCTTAAGGTGATTTAATACAGTTGGGCATTACCACTCCGAGCATTAAGGTGATAGGTGCCTTTCATATCACCTTAAGGTGATTTGAAATGCACAGAATAACTCTTTCAAAACAACTTAAGGTGATATGAAAGGCACCTATCACCTTAATGCTGTCCGAGATTACCACTCCGAAGAGAACCCACCATCTTTTCGCAAGCTTTCTTCCCGTCCATGAATCCCTTGGGGATGACGTTGGGGGTGAGGAGCTCGTATCTTTGCCGGAACTCCTGGAAAGGTATCCTGTTAGGGAATCCTTGTCTGCATATCCTGATGCCCTCGAGGACGCCATTGCACCGGAGCTGGTCGAGGACCAGGGGGGCGTCGATCTTGCCGGCTCTCTTCTCGTGGTTGGGGATGATGCATCTAACGAAATTCGGGTTTGTGTTCCTCAGGGTGATCATCAGCTTGGATAGCTGCTCCTTGTAGAGCTGGGAGACTGTCCTGAACATCCCTTTCCTGGTCCTGGCTCCGAATTGGGTGTCGGTCAGAGCTTGCTGGGCCATGCCGACGATTTCCGCATCCTTCCAGATGTGGCAAACGAACGGGTCCTGGGAATTGAGATTAAATTATACAGTATATGAGATAATACAGTAAACTCCGCCCCAATCGACTCAAACTAATTGAATCCACCTTGAAAAATTGTGTAAAACCGTTCATTGCAACTGTGTAAAGTTGGTATGTTCATTGAAGCTGTATAAAGTTGATGCGTTCACTGTAACTGTACAAAGTCAATATGTTCATTGCAATATGTTCATTGAAGCTGTATAAAGTTGATGCGTTCACTGTAACTGTACAAAGTCAATATGTTCATTGCAACTGTGTAAAGTTGGTATGTTCATTGTAACTGTGTAAAGTTGATATGTTTATTGTAACTGTATAAAGTTGATGGGTTCATTGTAACTGTATAAAGTTGATATGTTCATTGTAACTGTATAAAGTTGATGTGTTCATTGTAACTGTATAAAGTTAATGTGTTCATTGTAATTGTATAAAGTTAATATATTCATTGTAACTGTATAAAGTTAATATGTTCATTGTAACTGTATAAAGGTGATATGTTCATTGTAACTGTACAAAGTTGACATGTCCATTGTGACTGTATAAAGTTGATATGTTCATTATAACTGTATAAAGTTAATATGTTCATTGTAACTGTATAAAGTTGATATGTTCATTATAACTATATAAACTGTGTTGCACAAAAAACGTATTTTACTCTTTCCACCGAAAATCCAACGTTCATGTGAAAATGCAAAATTCCTTGTGAATTTGATTTACAATATTGAAAACATTTTCTGTCATTTATGTCGATAGGAAATGTTTTCATCGAATTGTTCGAAAGATATGGAATTATCGCTTATCTACTGCCGAGAGCGCCTCTTCAGGGAAACGTTGCCATTAAAAATTGCCTGCTAGTCTTTATCACGTTAAAAACATCACATTCTGTATAATATACGCGGACAATCGTTTCACTTTGCGTATCTTAATTGCAAAATTAAAAGCATCTTAAGTAATTTACGCCGCCAGGAAACGTTTCGGTCACGTAGTACCGGAGTTCCCTCACTTTCCGCAAGTGGCGCTAACATCGTTAGATCAGCGAAAATCTTAGACCCTGGAGCGACTTTCTGTGGAACCGGATTATCGTTTGACATTGCGTATCTTAACTGCAAAATTAAAAACATCTTAAGTAATTTACGCCGCCAGGAAACGTTTCGGTCACGTAGTACCGGAGTTCCCTCACTTCCCGCAAGTGGCGCTAACATCGTTAGATCAGCGAAAATCTTACACCCTGGAGCGACTTTCTGTGAAACCGACTATACGAATTATGTCTGGTATTTCATGGCGAGGATGATTTCAAGACATGGTGTCGTAACTCCTTGTAGTACCTCGTGGAAGCCCATCCCTACCTGGGAGACCTGAAGGAGGCTGACGACGTTCTCATTAAGCGGGTCCATGTTCTTCATGAGCCACTTCGCGGCGGAGTAGTCAACTTTCCCGGCATAATGGACAATGGCGAAGTCGGCGACGCCCCTGAAGTCGGTCTTGACGAACTTAGGATGGACGCTGTGGGCCCCGACGAGCTTCTCGACGAAGGTCTTGTCGGTCGCCTTGGGGAACCAACATTCCTCGTCGAGCAGCGCCATTATGCCCATCGGCTTGTCTATCAGGTCGATTGTCGGCTGCAGGTCCAGCCCGAAGTCGATGAACTTCCACTCGATCCCCTCCCTCTGGTACTCTTCCTGCTCCAGGATGAACATCGTGTGGTTGAAGAGCTGCTGCAGCTTCTCGTTCGTGTAGTTGATGCAGAGCTGCTCGAAAGAGTTCAGCTCGAAGATCTCGAAGCCGGCCATGTCGAGGATGCCGATGAAGCTGGCGCCCTGCCTCTTCGTCCTGTCCAAGGATCGGTTGATTCGGTTCACCAGCCAGCGGAACATCCTCTCGTAGCAGGCCTTGGAGATGGCCTCCACGGCGAACTCCACCTGCTCCTTCGTCTGCGCCTTCGTCACGAAGTCCCGGCCCACCTGGAGGCGAAAAACTCTTTAGAAAATCATGGGGGACACCAGGATGGACGTTTGACATCACCTTAAAGTGATGTGGAAGTAGCGTCACAAGGACCATTATAGAACTTTTGGAAAAAATGGATGTAGTGAATCGTTTCAAACTTTACAACGTGAATATGGAGGCTATAAGGAAGGTCCCGGCACCCATGAAATTTCATTTTTTATGAAAAAAAAAAATGTTTACGTCACCTTCAGGTGATGTGGAAGTGCCGCCTGACGGATCTTTATAGAGCTTTTGGCGAAACTGGATGTAGTGAATCGTTCCAAACTTTACAATGTGAATAAGGAGGCTAAATGGAAGGTCTCAGCACTCATGAAATTTCATTTTTTTACTAAGAAAAATGTTTACATCATCTTAAGGTGATGTGGAAGTGCCGCCTGACGGATCTTTACAGAACTTTTGGCAAAACTGGATGTAGTGAATCGTTCCAAGCTTTACAACGTGAATATGGAGGCTATAAGGAAGGTCCTGATGCCCATGAAATTTCATTTTTTATAAAAAAAATGTTTACATCCCCTTAAGGTGACGTGTAAGTGTTGCCTGAAGGATCTTTACAGAACTTTTGACAAAACTGGATGTCGTGAATCGTTTCAAACTTTACAACGTGAATATGGAGGCTATAAGGAAGGCCCTACACCCATAAAATATCATTTTTTATAACAGATTAAAAAAATCTCTATGTACAAATATAAAAAATTGAAATTTCGAGGTTGTCAGGACCTTTCTTATACCCTCCATATACATATTATAAACTTTGAAACGATTTTACGCACCAAGTCCTGTCAAATGTTTGATAAACGAAATTTCTTCGACGCCACTTTCACATCCCTTTAAGAAAGTTGGTAGAGTTTCGCGCCAAATGCACACATAAACGCTTAATTTAGGACTTAGCACCTTGATCCGCGGCTTCAGGAAGGCCTTTGTCATCTCCGTGACAGAGAGACCCAGAAGGTGGGAGATCTTCTGTGCAACCGTGTTGTCCGGAAGTGTAGCTTGGTCGGAGTTCCTCTCCTGGCGGAACTGCATCGAACCAAACAGCATCACGGCTGAAACAATTCGGAAGATGGCGGAGAAATCCTCGGTCGTCATCCCCATGATGTTCATCGCCTTCACCGTTGCGGAAAACTCTGATGCGTCGTCCACCCCCGGAACCGGAAGTGCCCCGTTCGACAGGAACGGGTAGTGCTTCGGGTCCTCCAGGATGAACTCCTCTGTGGAAAATATTTAATTAATTATGGCGTTTTACTTCTATTTTTTTAATAATTATTGTACGGATACGACATATCGAATATGGCATTTAGTACAATATCAAATATAATTCTATACGGCTGTCAATATAAATATGAACGTCGGTAATGTAGGTATTTAGGAGAATCTTTTTACCGACGTCGATCAAAATTCTCGACTCTCTTTCTTTGGAGTGTATTCTCTGGTATTATTTGAAATTTTACAATATAAATTCTGAGCAACTAAAGAATACTTTCAGAGTGTGGATTTTCAGGAGATAAATTTACTTGACTGCCCTGATATTAGTTCTTATTTAGAAAAGGCCGTAAGAAATGTTACTTTTCTGTTCGGTTGAGGCTCCTGCCAGGAGTTGGTAGAAAATGTGGAAAGTCCTTTCATCCTTCGCTTGTCTGATCGCTCTGGACTTTTCCAATAAGTACGTCTCGATATTTGCGCCGGCTATATATCCAGAGGCGTCGAAATTAATCCTGATGAACTTTCCCTGAAAGAAAAACGTCCAACTCATAAATAAACAATCAGACTATTAAACATTTTAAATGATTTCTAGGTTAACTTTTGATGAACTTTCCCTGAAAGAAAAACGCGCCTCATAAATAAACAAACAAGCTACTAAACATTTTAAACGATTTTTAGGTTAACTTGTAATGCAGTTTCTCGAAAAGAAAAACGGGCAAATCATAAATAAACAGTTATTTCAATTCTTTAAGGTGATATAAAAATGTCATTTTCCATACATAAAAACGTAAAAATATTTTTATTACTTTCTTGAAAACTGGATACACTGAATGATTTGAAACGGTAACTCGTGATTATGGAGGTCCTAATAAAAGTGTTGAAATATCATTTTTTGAAAAAAAAAAAAAACAAAGCAATTATCCTGAACAAGAAATAAAAAAAATAATTTTTTTCTCGAAAAATGAAATTTCCTGAGTTTTAAGACATTTATTAGAACCTTCTAGAATGTTGTGTTAAAGTTTCAAATGATTTGGTGCACCCAGTTTCGAGAAAAGTTTTATATTTTCACGTTCTTATATATATGGAATGACCATTTCATGTCACCTTAACTACTTTCCCTTAAAATGATTATTCATTTCTTACGAAACGTGACGAGTTGTCGTTCTTCACAGTCTTCGCGTTTCCGAAGGCCTCGAGGATGGGATTGGCTTGAAGAAGTTGCTGCTCGAGTTCGCCCTGTGAGTAAAAATCAAAGAAATTAGTTAACTGATGATAAACAAAAGCGTTAAAACACTTATGAACATCTCGGAAGACCGAGGGAGGGACGTGTTAATTAGGGGTTATGGTAACACGCATAATTCAAGTGGATTCATTGTTTCTTCTTCGTTTCATTTCATATGCAAATGTATATATATTTACTGTATTTTTATTATTTCTACTAGAAAACGTCCATTAGTTTTCATTTGGACGAGAAATTGAACAAAGTATTTCAGAAAAATCATAAATTTCAATGTTCAGATTCCCATGCCAACGGTTGCTATGGACGCCGGCTTCCTTGGACACGGTTGTCAGGGACGCCGCCTCCATAGCAACCGCTGCTGCGTCTATTTTTAAATGTAGCCAATAAAACCCACTTGATTAATTGACATTTCCAGTTAATCTAATTAGTATTTATCTATGAAAGCACATCGCGATCTGAGAGTTAGGATTTATTGGAAAATTACTTCCTTGCGTAATTAATTGAAGCGTACAAAGTTCGCAAAGTAGACGATTACGAAACGTTAACATAAGCCCCGATACTCTGCATGCCACACTTTTAATTCTCCAAGATGACAAAGTTCACAACAATCCCAGGAAAACAATGACATGAATAAAATTAACGTTAACTCTTAACAATCCTTTTTATTATTTTCTTTTTTAAAGCAGAGTACCGAATCTTACACACACAACAACCACTCAAGGATGGGGCAACGTGAAGACCTCACAAAATGTCGTTTCCTTTTTATTAATAAATCTTCCGAATTTTGCAATAAATATAAATTTGCCAATATAATTTCATCGAATGGTTAGAATTATTTCGGTAATTGCGAGGAATGTTAAAGAAGCAGCAATGTCGAGAAATCGCTGAGCACTCAGCGAAGTTTCGCAAGCGATCGCAGATAACGAAGGCAGGGACAATTTGCATACAAAAAAACAAACAAATAAACAAACGCGACGACTTGGAGACGTGAAATCGCGGCCGGGGAAAAAAGAGAGCGAGTTGGCACATTGACAGTACATTTGACTTCATTAATTACCGCAAACTTGTCCGAAGCACTCCCAGATCCCTGGATTTGTCGAGGCAGCAGGAAAAAGTAAACGCCACGATAAGTTCGAGTCAACGACTTGATAACGACTTTACCCGAAACGGAAGTTAATTTTGGGACATGCGAGAATATGAGGAATATCGTAAAGATACGTTGTTTCTTTCATAAAATGAGTAGAAATTAGCAATATTAAAAAAAACATTCACATTCTGGCCTTTACGCTAAATTTATTTATCTAAAATTTGCATTTATTGTAAATTATGAACATGTACTTGGCGCGGGACTCTACACCTAGATTGCATTTCTTGAAACTGATGTATATGTACTTGGCGCGGAACTCTGCACCTAGATTGCACTTCTTGAAAATTATGAATATGTACTTGGTGCGGAACTCTGCAGCTAGAGTTCCGCGCCAAGGATGTATTCATTGTTTATCTAGAAAATTACATTTCTTGCAAAGGATATGTTCATTATTTAGTTAAAAATTGCATTTCTTGAAAATGATGAATATGTACTTGGTGCAGAACTCTGCAGCTAGAGTTCCGGGCCAAGGATGTATTCAATGTTTATCTAGAAAATTACATGCCTTGCAAAGAATATGTTCATTATTTAGCTAAAAATTGCAGGTTTTGTACATGATGCTCATGTACTTGGTGCGGAACTCTGCAGCTAGAGTTCCGCGCCAAATATATATTTATTATTTGAAAAAATTCCATTTTTTAATCTACAACAAAGCTATGAAAATTGCAATTTTTTAACTAAATCAATGTAGCGTCAAAGGTAGAATGTGAAAAAATTTCCCGCTAGAGTTCGGCGCCAAGAACACGCGCCGAGAAATCTGAAAATAGGTTTAAATCGAGCTTTTGTTTGAAAATCTTTTATCCATGTTTATTAAAATTTAACTCTTGCGCGTTTCATCGTAACTTCTGTTTCGAGTGTTGTTATGGTGTGAAACAAATAAATAAATAAATAAAAATAAATAAAAAATAAAATGTGGATGACTGTAATTCAGGATTTTTCGTGAATTTAGTCCGATGAGAAATAAAGCAAAATACAAGAATCGGCCGGAGTGAGTTGGGTTAATTAAAATGAATTAATATGAATTAAAATTAATTAGGAACAAGAGCGCAACGGGCGCAACAAGTACATTTCGAACCGTAAAATCCAAAACCAGACGACCCGAGACTTTGTTAGTGGATGAGTCAAGAGGAACATAAAAAAAGCAGAGCTCGCAGAAATTCTGCGAGACTCACCCAGCTTTATTGGACTTACTATGATTAACGCCGGACTTGGGGTCTAGACGGGAGTTCCGTGGAAATCAGCACCGAAAACCAAACAATTGTCCATGTTAGATCCCCTGACATCAGATGGCGCTACTATCGCCCTTCCCGGGACATTGAGATCGATACATAACCTTCTACATTTATGCATTTGGTATAAACTCATGTCATGTCATGTCACCGAAAACCAAACAATTGTCCATGTTAGATCCCCTGACATCAGATGGCGCTACTATCGCCCTTTCCGGGACATTGAGATCGATACATAACCTTCAACATTTATGCATTTGGTATAAACTCATGTCAAACTCTGTTATCCGACAATATTTCAACAGCATTGCGCCGCATTCGTATTTCTGGCGAGAGCGCTCACTTCTCGCATTTTCATCTCACGTGGGTTTATTCACCGAATTACGTATTCGCTATATGAAAGAACGAAATCACAAGTACTTTTGGGTGTCTATTATGTATTTTTGAGGAGCGCGCTCACTTCTCGCATTTTCATCTCACGTGGATTTATTCCCCGAATTACGTATTCGCTATATGAAAGAACGAAATCACTAGCACTTCCGGTCTAGTAATATTGCCAAATAAATATCTTTTTGTATGCTTCCTCATTTCGCTTAAAAATTTGTGCCGAGCCAGTTCGTATGAATGGTCTCGCATTTTCCCCCCCAAAAACGTTCCGTAATACCGTGAGCTCCTCTTTTTCACATTTTCGCTCAATTTGCTTTACGTAATAGACCCCCTTAAGGTGATCTGGGTCTTTATTACGTATTTTTGACGAGAGCGCTCACTTCTCGCACTTTCATCTCACGTGGGTTTATTCGCCGAATTACTTATTCGCTATATGAATGGTCTCGCATTTTCACCACCAAAACGTTCCGTAATACCATAAACTCCTTATTTTTCACATTTTCGCTCAATTTAATTTACGTAATAGACCCCCTGACTCAATATTTTCTTTCTTACCGTAGAATCGGATTATCCGTGGGAAAGTTCGAGCGGCCATGTTGGATCCGGGGATGAAAAATGGCCGCGGGCTTTCCTGGGAGGAAAGAGCAGGTCGGCAACAGGTCTCGGGCGAAAAGAGCGGGGCGGTCTCTCGCAATTGAGGTAAGAATGCGCCCGCGAGGTCGTAAAATCGAGCGGGAACGCGACGTGGTAAGGTATGTCGCCATTTTTACATCGGCGGGAGTCTCCGAGCGGGAGTTTACGACTTTCCACGAGAGCGCGGCTGGCTCCAGGGGAATGGGCCAATAGGAGCGCGGTTGGCTCTAAGGGAATGGGCCAATAGGAGCGCGGCTGGCTCCAGGGAAATGGGCCAATAGGAGCGCGGCTGGCTCCAGGGGAATGGACCAATAGGAGCGTGGCTGGCTCTAAGGGAAATAAGCCAATAGGAGCGCATTTAATTGACACTAAATTCAGAGATGACGCAATATGTCCGTCGAATTACCGAGTCTCATAAATCTAGTGCTAAATGTCTTCGGATCAAAGGAAAACCTTCCTCGTATCCACGTCGCCCACCTTTTCGAGGTGGAGCGATTTTCCGCGACCGCCGCATAAAAACCGGGTCAGGAATCCGCAAGGCGCATTCCCAGCTATCTCGTTTTCCTTTTCATTATACCGCTGCGGATTTTCGCGTCCTTCGCAAATCGCCGGCGTTTCGCTGGCTCGCACATTTTTTCCTTCTCTTTTTTGCGCAACTCCGCTCGCTACGCCGACGCGTTGACGCCATGCGGAAGGGAATTAAGGTGAAGTTGAAACCCCCTTCAAATCAGTCGATTCGAATACAACACTTTTTTTTTAGGGTATTAGACCAAACTATCCGAAACTTTGATACATCACTCCTGATCATCTAAGAATTGTCCTGACACATTAAAAACTTGGATTTTTGTAAAAAATTGTTTAACTCAGCCCAGCCCAGAACCAAAATGGCGTCGAGCTCTCATATTTCGATCAATATACAATTATCGAAGGCTCTGATATGAGAATCGAAAGGGTCAGGACAATTTTACGACAATTTAGAACACTCTGGTAATCGATAAACTCGCATTTAAACGGGATAAAGGCAAAAAAAGTGTTGTATGCGCTTCTTTGCCAAAACGATGGGAATACGAGGTCTCGGAGTGAAAATTTAATTGTCCTGGAAATCACAGATGGCGCAGGGGGTCCCTCTGCAGTCAATTAGGGCCCCAGAAAGCACGAATCCAGAGGATTTCTGGAGTTTTACTTCAATTTCTTTGTAATTATTGTACGGAAACGACATATGGAGCATAGCAATTAGTACATTATCCAATATAGTTAGAAAAAGCTGTCGATATAAAAACGAACGTCGACAACGTAGGTATTTTTAATTAGATATTTTCGTCTACAATTTTGGTACATTTGTCCGCCCCGAAATACCTGATGCTGGAAGAATGTCCATCGGAGGCATCTTTAAGCCCCGAGAAAACGAACGCATGTCATCGGAATGTTATCTCGGGTGGCAAAGTCCTCGGTGTCGCTTATCGCGCGTCTAATTGAAGACCTTGATGCCCCGAGCGCGTTGTTCCCGAGTTGGAAAAAAATGGAGCAGAGCGACCAGCTGTGGCGCGGCTCACCTCGAATTTTTAGAGGCCTCTCACGGCCTTGATTTTCGATCGATCTTCGATCCGAAAGCGAATCTCGAAACCGGACGAGTGAACCTTTCGATTCGTCATTTGACATCGCCATCTTGTCGCGCTATTTTCCGTCGAAAGGCGAATCGAGTGCGATCGAGACGTCGCGCCAAAGAACTGAAATTATTTCACGTCATCTTAAAGGCTTTTATCTCGGATTGCACAGTCCCTAGCCACGCTTATCTCGGGTCTAATTGAAGACCCCAACGCCCTGAAGCGGACGACGCGGAAAAAAAATGGCGCGGGGTGAACAGCTGTGGCGCGGCTCACCTCGAATTTTTAAAGGCCTCTCACGGCCTTGATTTTCGATCGATCTTCGATCCAAAAGCGAATCTCGAAACCGGGCGAGTGAACCTTTCGATTCGTCATATTACGTCGCCAACAATAATAATGTGAAATTGTATTGCACTGAGAAAAAAATTTTGATTAACATTGAACCAAAGAAATATTTTGTTAATTCCAAAAATAATTATTTGAAATAGGCTCGCAAAAATTGGATTCGGAATTATGACAATTTAGTTGAGTCAAATAATTATTCTTGGAATTAACGAAATATTTCTTTGGTACTATTCAAAGAAACAAGTTGATTAATTACTTTAAAGAAATTATTGATTTAAATTAAGAGTTACGTCAAATAAATAACGTATTTTCCTTAAGAAAGTGAAAATGAATTGAATTTATTTTTTACTGAAATCAAATAAACGTTTCGTCGACTGATACAAATAATTGTTTTGTATTAATAAAAGCAGTTTGAACATATTTCTTTGTTCGGATTAAATAGACTGTTTCATCAGTGCGAGTCCTTTTCGAACTATGAAAACTAGTTAAAAAATAGTTAATTTTTTTAGATTTTTCTCTCAGTGCATATACCACTACTTTGTTCTCGACATCGCATCGTCTATAAAACCAATAATATCTCCACTGTCAAGGAAATTAACATCTCATCGGGATGTTATCTCGGATTACAAAGTCCCTAGCCACGCTTATCTCGGCTCTAATTGAAGACCCCAACGCCCCGAAGCGGGTGACGCGGAAAAAGAATGGCGCGGGGTGAACAGCTGTCGCGCGGCTCACCTCGAATTTTTAAAGGCCTCTCACGGCCCCGATTTTCGATCGATCTTCGATCCGAAAGTGAATCTCGAAACTGGGCGAGTGAACCTTTCGATTCGTCATGTGACATCACCATCTTGTCGTGCAATTTTCCGCCGAAAGGCGAATCGAATGCGATCGCGGCGGCGCACCAAAGGTCGGACAAGTGGATTACGGCAGTGATGGCCGTCTGAAAAAGGCAAGATATCCTTCGACTTGCGATTCCCGCGCGGATTTCGCAACGCTGAGTCGCAATATAAATCGATTGAACCTAATCGACGTACGAGCGCGGCCATCTGTTTATAGCAAGCTGTAAACGAAACCGTGTTAAGGTTTGTGCGTCACGTCCTTGGCGGTATGACGAATCGCCTTTTCTTTTAAGGACACCCTGTACATCGGGAGAGTTTCGGTCCCGATTCGTCACCGTGCCATCTGCGCGCGCACGCCTGGAGGCGCTGACTCGGCCGGTAAAGAAGGTTCCTGCAGCTTAATTTATGGCAGCGCTTTATGTGGCCGGTTCCGCGAAAACTCGTCAAAAGTGGAACCGAAAATGAAGTCACGCCCGTTTCATGGTGAAAAATTACAACGAGCCGGAAAATGATTTTCTATTAAAAAAAAAAATGTGACAAAGAAATTTTTACTTAGGAATCCGCTTAAAAAATGTTAATTCGCTTCAAAAAGTGAACGACTGGAAGAATTACAAAAATGAAACCGAAAATGAAGTCAACGCCCGTTTCATGGTGAAAAATTACAAGCCAAAAAATGACTTTCTCCAAAAAAAAAAGGAATTTTTACTTTTTAGTAAGAATTCGGTTCAAAAATATTAATTCATTTTGAAAAGAGAAAAACTGGGAAAATTACAAAGATGGAACCGAAAATGAAGTTCCATGTTGAAAAATTAGAATGACCAAAATGATCATTTTCTATTCATAAAAAAAAAAAAGGGAATTCTTCTGACAAAGAGATTTTTTAATTCCTATTATCGACAAGATAAATTGTAGGGTTGATTGGTGACGTTAATAAAAAATTGGAACGATATTAAAAAAATCAGTTTCCATTAAAAAAAAAAAAGAATGGAATTCTTGTTTAGCGAGAGAAAAAATTCATTGAATCAGCGAAATATTTCATAATATTAAATAAAATATTCTGTTAATTCAATCAAACAAATATTTCACAGTATCAAAGAATTATTGCATTCAATTCGTTTCACTAATTATACTTTTTATATCCAATTTTGACAATGAGTGTTATTCTTACCGTAATGATA